CGGAGAGATCAGAGGAACTGGACTGAGAGTCCTAATATAAATTACTATATGCGTATTTGACTGAGTTTTGGCAAAGGTGCCAAGGTAATTTATTGAGAAAAGGATTCTGTTCAACAAATGAAGCTGGGAAAACCACATACCCACATGCAGGGTAGATAAATGTAAACCCTTACTTCACAATATATATAAAAAATGGAACAAAGATTTAAATGTAAGAGCTAAAGATAGAACTTTTAGCATAAAACAAAGGAGAAAACCTTCAAGACCTAGGGTTAGGCAAAGATTTCTTAGCTATGACATCAAGCCAGCCCATACAAGAAACTAAATGGGACTAGCCACGATGGTGCACATCTCTAACCCCAGTACCCAGGGGGCTGAGGTAGGAGAGTCCTGTGAGTTTGAGGCCAGCCTGCATTACATAGTAAGTCCAAAGTCAGCCCGAACAATATGGTAAGACCATGTCTCGAAAAAATAACACCCAAAAAATAAAACAAACAAGACTCACCAAAATTTAAAATATTTGCAATTAGAAATGCATCATTAAAAATGAAAAGATAAAAAAAAAGCTACAGATTGGGGAGAAAATGTTCATAAAAGTCATATTAAAGTAAAGCCTTTGTGAAGAACTGACACAGCTCAAAAAAAAAGGCAAGAAAACAAAAAAAAATCAAAACATGCAAAAAGGATGAAGAGTTATAGACAGCCCTTTCACCAAAGATACATGAATAACTCTTCAACACATGAAAAGGTATCTTTATTCATTAGGCTAATAACAAATGAAAACCACAATGAGCTACCATTGCATATCCATCAGAGTGTTTAGAAGACAGACAATAACAACTGATGAAGATGTGTATCCTTGCTGGTAAGAATGTAAATGGCAAGGCTACTTTTGGGGAAAAAAAAAAATGGGCCGTTTCTCAGAAACTTATTCTTAGGTATACCACCAAGACCAATGGAAACATATATCCAAATGAAGACCCGAAGCAGAATGTTCATACCAGCAAACACTGGGAAAAATTCAAATATCCACCAGTTTGTATATATAGACAAATTACAGTTTACCAATATAACAGAATAACATTTAGCAATGGAAAAGGACAGACATGCTACATGGAGGATGGGCTTCAAAACCATATGAAGTAAAGTAAGCCAGACAATGAAGATTCAGAGTATGTGAATCTTTATTCATATGTAATATATATGCTATATATACATATAATATGTATAATGTATGTATATATTACATATATGATATGATATATAATATGATATGTATATATAATATATACATATTACATATGGAAATTTTTAGAGAAAGAAACCATATCAAGGATTGCCTGGTAGTTAAGGTCTGAGCTGGAACTAATTGTAAATGAATATGGGGAATCTAATTTGAGGGACAAAAATGTTCTATAGATGACTGACAGTGAGAGTTGTACCACTCAGTTAAGTTACCAAAAATCACTAAAGCTGAGCGAGGGATGCATGCTTGTAATCCCAGCGCTCTGGAAGGCTGAGGCAGGAGAATCACAAATGACAGCCAACCTGGGCAACTTAGTCGTAGGCGCTGTTTTATTTATTTATTTATTTATTTATACCAGGTAACTCATGCTTGCCAGGTAGGTGATGCACCACTGAGCTAAATCCCTGGTCCCAAGAACCTGTTTTAAAATAAAAAATAAAAAAAGAATTTTGTTACAGTTCAGTGGTAAGACCCTCGATTCAATCTCTAATACCAGAGGAAAAAACATTGGACTGTCTGTTTTTAAAAGGTAAATGATATATAAAAACAATCACCATAAAGTTGTGCAAAAATACTTAATGTTAAAACAAATTAGTAAAAGTTAATGCATCTTTTGATGCTAGATATGTTTATTATTTGCTCAAGCTCAAACCTTCAGTCATTATTGAAATATTCCTAGTCTTTGGGCCATTATAGACCAGACAGCAAGGCTTTTATTCATCAGGTAAATGCTATTACAATGAATTCATTTTTAAAATTTCCTTTCTAATGCTATCTCCCTAATACAGGTTTTCTTTCCTTTTCTTACTTAATTTTGTTACAATTCCAGATGTTTGCTCTAACTCTACTTACTTCCTCATTAATTAATTACTAGATTAGTAGTCTGGTTACTTTGGCTTCATCAGGCTACACTCTACTCAAATTTTCTCGCTGCAGGCGGGACACTGTGTGGTGCTTAATTTTAGGTATCCACTTGACTATGTTAAGGTACACTCGGCTGGTAAAACATTATTCATTAGCATGTCCTTGAGGGTGTTTCTAGAAGCTTCTGAATCAGTAGACTATGATGACACATCTTCACCCATATGGGCAGACATCACCAATCTACTGAGAATGTACACAAAACAAAAATGATAACTTTTATCATCTGGCATATCCATCTCCCATTGCCTTTGAATATTGGGGCTCTCCTGGTTCTTAGTTAGCTTTAGGCCTGGGCATAAGAAGTATACTACTGACTCCCTAATTCTCGAGCTTGCAGACAGGAGATTGTGAGAAAACATGAACTCCAAAGTCAAGTGAACCAATTCCCACAATAAATTCCTTTGCATTCCATTTGACCCAGATAGTCCTCTTCTAGGTGTTTTCCAGAAAGAGTTAAAGATGTATTACAATGATATCTGCATACCCATGTTTACAGTAGCATAATTCATAAAGCAGCCTATGATTATCAACAGATGAATAAAGAAAATGTTTTATTTATACTATTCTGCCATAAAAAAGGATAACTTGAGCCATTCGTGGGAAAATAGATGTACCCTGAGAACATAACGTTAAGTGAAATTAATCAAACATATAAGTTTAAATATTGCATAATTTCTCTTAAATGAGAAACTCAAATTCTAAATAAAGAGCAAAATAAAAAGATAACAGAAAGCAGGGAACTAGATCTTTTCAAATAGGAAGGGGACCAAGAGACAGAGAGAGAAGAAAGGGAGGGAGAGGAGATGAAAAAAACAAATTCAGATGTGTTATATCCATGTGTCAATTCCATATAAGGAATGCCAACATTAAGTACTGCAAACATACACAAAAACAATAAAAAGTAAATTCTTTCTTGCGGATTTCTTTATATAACTTTTGGTTCTGTTTCTCTGGAGAACTTTAATACACTGTTTGGACCCAACTTGGAGTTACAATTTTATTTTTCTCTCTGGTTACAATTTCTTTTACTGCTTTGTTTCCTTGTTGTCTCCTGTGTTAGTTTCTAAAGGCCGCTATAACAAATTGCCACAAATCATGTGGCTTAAAACAACATGTGCTGTTCTCTTAAATTGTGGTGGGAGGAAGCCTAAAATCAGCAGGTCTCTGTAATTCCTACAGCATGGACCCTCTATTGTGACACCACATCATGCCAATCTCTGCTTCTGTCTTCACAAGACATTTTTCGTTCTCTCTTCTCTTCCAAGGCTGCTTGTCATTGGATACAGGTCCCACCTTAATCCTCTTACATCTGGAGTTCAATTTCCTTCTCAATGAAACTTCCAAATTAGATTACCTTTGCAGGTCTCCAGTGGACATGTTTTTGGGGAGAGAATCAGCCTTCAATCCACTACCTTCCCCTTGGGCATGTTATTTCCACATTTGAAGTTTCTCTTCCATTTTCTTTTCAAAGCCTGCTCAGTTTCAGTGGCCAGCCTCTGATAAGCTGAACACTGTATTCATTTCTTCTTCTGAACTCCTATGGCACCCCCTGTATTGTTAATTTGTGCATTGTTTATGCCTGCGCGTGTGGGTCCTGTTTGCCAAACAGATTTTAATCTCTTGCAAGAGAATCTCAAACTCCAAAGCAGAAGTTTCTCAACTTTGGCTACATATCTGAATCATTTAGAGATCTTTAAACTACTCAAAGAGGTTTTAATTTAAGTAGTCTAGTGGTGAAGGGGTGTCCCAACATTAGTATTCTTTAGGAGTTTTGAGTTCATTTTGATGTGCTGTCCAAGTTGAAACTCCACTAATTTAAAGCATGCTTTCTCAACCAGAAAGGACAAAATTGTTTCTTAGTGGGGAGGGTATGCAAAAATCTTTGATCGTGGTTTGTCCTCTTTTAAATGGCCAAGTACATAAAATGATATATAGTACCACATATGTAATAGTATTAAAATTTCATGAGAGCACTTAGGGAAAAATATCTAAAATAGCTCCTTAGGGGGGCAATAATGAAAAATAGTCTGAGAAATACTGCTCTAAAGTATATCAAAATCACCTGTGGAGCTTGATAAAATGCATCCGACTAAGCTCTCAGGGATTCTGAGTTAAGAGTTTCAGTTATGCCCCTGAATTCAGTATAATTAATAAGAACTAACATTTATCACATGCTTACTATATGCAAAGTACTGTACTGAGTGCACCCATGTTTCGTCTTCACGTTCATTGCAGACACAAAGAAACAGAAGCACAGACACCAATTTGCCCAAATTTGGCCAGCTCATAAGTGGCAAAGAAAGAGTTGAGCACGGGCATTCATATTTATGTAATTAATCCCTAATCATTGGCCTTGAATATCAAAGCTTGAAAGTTACTGTCCCGCTTTGAATATATCTCAAAGTTCTCTTGCTTTCTACAAATAGTAGAATGCTTCATACAGAATCAGTGACCAGGATATAAGGAAAGGACCAGGGAACTGCCAATTTAGACAAGAGCAGAGCTACAGGGTACATAACATTGACTTCACCAGCCAGGACCAAAGGAGTTAGATTACATGGGCTGTCAGGTTATTAAATACATGAAAATGAAGAAGCCTATATCCGTGGTCTAAGAGGTGTAGGCAGTACTTTGGAAGCTTCCAGTGTTTTAATGGTAATGATTAACAGAGTTAAACCAACCAAAATCGCAAAATATTCATCGTTCCACAAACCACTGGATTTGGGGTGCCTTTGAAATGAGTGTTTCAAAGGTTTTCAGTACTTCATGTTTGTTTGTGTGTTTGTTTATTAGTACTCCATGTTGATCTCAGGGGTTTCCTGCCAGTGAGTATAGCTCCAGTCCTTTTTATTTTGAGACAGAATCTTACCGAAATATGCAAACTGGCTTCAGATTTGTAGCCCTCCTGCCCCACCCGCTGGAGAGCAGGGATTACAAACATGCACCACCACACCAACAGGGTTAACTTTTCCTAAAGTCCACAGAATTCTTCAGAAATCCTATCTGAAGTCATATAATATATAATTAGAAAACAATCTGAGAAAGGTGAGCTTTATCTGCTCAGAATATTTCTCAATGTATATAATCAACTTATAGGATACAAAGGTAACCACCTAGATTGATTTAGTTATTAAAATAATTCTAAAATGTGTGGTAGGGTAATAAACTGTGTTTTTATTAACATTTTTAAAGATCTAGTGACAAATCTAAAAACAACTTAATCTGAAGTTGTGATGAATGTAAATGGTATTTCAAGCTATTCATAACAACTAAAATGTGATAACTGAAATATCTGTGATTTCCATCGGTGACAGAATCATAGGTACTGCTAACACTAATCTGACTTGTTGCCAAATCATAGCAGACAGAAATGCTAATTTGCAATTAGAGATTAGTGAAAACAAAATGCAAATTTTTCCCACGCTTGAGCACCTTGTTGGGATGTATGGACCTGTGGATACCTGGTTAAAAAATCCATTTATGGCACGAAGAACCCTAACAGCTTAGTCCTATCTGCTTAACACTGTCCAATTTGGCCCATCTTGACTTAAAGTAACTCCTTAGATAAGCCCCAGAACTTGGTGTATCTTTGGCTAAGATTTCTCCAGTTCAGGACAGTCTCTTGACACTGCAGTACTTTGGACACGTTGACCCATATAATGACAACAATTAAGCTGGGTTGTGGGAATTAGTTAGGAAAATGTTTCTGGTTAAGAAAGCAGCTTTCATGTTTCTTTTGCTTAACAATCAACTGAAGATTGTATAAAAAATGTAGCTTCTCGGATTCTGCCCCACCTACCCCTACCCACGCCCTGCTCAGAGCTGCCGCTCTCAGTGTGTTTGCGGCAGGGCCCAGCAATCTGCACCCTAAATGTTTATGCAGAAGATTAAGCAGCTGCTGCTCACTTACATTGGCCTAGCACTGAGCTCACGGGAGACCTCTTCTGAGAGCAGTGTGTGTTTCTGAGTGTGAGAGAATTTAACAAGCAGCCCAGCCTTCCAGAGCCTTTCCCAACAGTTATCAGGTTACCCCGGCAGGTAGATGGTCTGCGGCTGCTGCAGCTTAAATCTGAGGACTCATTTTGAGGGCAGAGAAGTTCATGGTTCCCATTCTCCATAAAATCTTTGGAGAGAAATTTCCTCTTTTGTAAGGAATATTCTCCCTCCTCTTCTTTCCCGCCTCTTGTCTTCTCCACCACACACTGACCCCATAGGCTGCAAAGATGAAGAAGAATACCATCATTCACAGTGAGCCTTGAATCCTCAACAAAGCTGACAGATAAATTGATGTTTCAAAAACCCTGTCATTTGGAGTCCTTACCCTATGGTAAGGACTTCTCTGACTTGAGAGGCCTCCTCTCACAGTGTATGGAATAACTCCCCCTAACCTACCTGTACAGACTCTGGAAGATAACTTCAGACTGTTAGAGGACAATGACATAAGCCTCTCTCATCATTCGACCCTTGACCTTTCCTGGAAAAGAAACACAGGAGGGAGATGTGTGGCTTCCTGATCCTTTTATATTTTTAGACTCTCCAGTCAAGACTTTACCAGAAACTTAACTAAACATCTCTGGCAGCCAGGCAAGGGTCTTCATCTAGGACTGAATGTATCTAAACTGACAGGTTGAAACTGTAGTTCTTGAGTGTTCACAAAGAAACAAAGTTTCTTAACATATTAAATATATTTTTTACGTAACATTATGCTAAATTACATTTCTTAGCAATTATATTGTGATTTATTTTCCCCCTCTTGTAAGGCTATTTATAGCTCTTGGCAGTTAATTTCTCAGTGTTTTAAGTTTTTAAAGCTTCCTATTTAATAGATGATTGGTCAGTGAAATACATAGATTATAAACCTGTCTCTAAGTGTTCCATATACCTTTCACAAATAACAATAGCACTAGTTTTGTAGGTGTTTTGTCTTTCCCCAATATCTCACCAGTGTTTAGAACAAAATCTGACACAGACAACATTTATTGAAGAAATTTTCTGCCAGACACTGTACCTATTACCTTACTGTAGTTAATCTCATTTAATCTGATTAATTAAATCATCCTCAGCAAATTCTATGAGGCAAATTAGAATTATTATCACATTCCCATTTTATAAACTAGAAAACATGAGTCTAAAAAATCCTGAACGTATTTCCAAAGTCTCAGGAAATCACTAGAAGGCCTACCGTGAACACTGGATGTTGGTGAGGCCTACAGGTTTACACTGCATAGTCCAGGGGTCAGCATCTTGAAGCCAAGGTTAAATTTGGGCCATCACTTGTTTTATTGGACCTCAACTCATTTACATATATTATAAACGAATGTCTTTTTCAGTGCTTTTACACCCAAGGACAGAGCTGAGAAACTCTGTTGGAAGACACTAATAGTCCACAAAAGATACAGTAGTTACAACCAACCCTTTTACAAAATGTTTGTCAGCTCCTGGAAAAGGCCACTCTGCAAGATGATCTGAAACAAGAATATTATGAATTCCAAATCCTTGTTTTTTAAACAATAAAGAATAAATAAAATGTTTGGTATCCTTTGTATGCTAACAGTATTTTACTAGATAGATGGTATTATGTTAATAAATAGAGGGTTTTATTTTTTCAGTTGTAAGGCTCAAATTTAGAGCCAGGTAGATAGCAGGCAAGTACTGTCACTGAGCTAAATTCCCAATCCTAATTCATTTTTTAATGCTCTGTCCTGATGTTTAAGGATCACTTAATTTTAAGAAACAAAAACACTCTGGAGAAAGCTTAATTGAAAACCAAATCCAAGGAAATTGTAGAATCAAGGGCAGAAAGAATCACTGAGTCTCATAGTTGTGGACTGAAAATGACAAAGCTTTTTGTACTCACTGCCAGTTATTTCTCTATGTTTTCCTCTTTCCAATAACACTCATCTCTGTGGGCTCTCTGCCTGCTTATCAAACACATGCGACCACAATTCATGCCCCTTGCTGAAGACCTCTGTTGCTGTATGACCTACTGGACCAAATTTCTGGTTCAAGCAGCTAATGCACTTATGGTTAAAGGAGTAGGTGGACAAAGGTCTTTCTCGATACTGTGGACGTCCAATATTCTAAGTAACTATGTGAAGGAGAATAAATGTTATCAATATTAACATCTCTAATTGCAATGATTCTCAAAGTGTGAGTAGGTATCTTCAGGATAACTTCTGTAATGACTGCTATTACTCATGGAAGCATATTGTATCCCTCAATGTTGGTTATATAGGTAAAATGTAGAAAACTACACTCTTGTGTGACTTATAATAATTTACCAGGCTAACAAAAACTACATACATTTGGAGCTATGATAAATGTTGTTAAATACCAACTAATAATTAAATAGAGTTGTTGAGATGATAATTAGCATTACTTTGATATGCTGTAAATGTAATTTTCTTTGGCTTCTTAATCTGACCTACATATTTGCTTACTTTCTGCTTACTGTTTGTAATATTTATGCTGAGTAAAACAAGAATGTCAGTAAGTGCCACAACTTTATTATGTTTACCTTTCCACACAATATCTAGTCTGTTGGTGGTCTTTAATGATGTAATAGTATCTCTATTTCAGTACACCTTGCATTGATTTTCCAGCGCATTCCTGGGATCATATTTACAATGCAGATTAACCCACTTGCACTCACATCTGACATTATAATGTTGATCTGCAAAATTAACAGTATATTTGGGCTATTCACTTAATCACTAAATATAATTGTTCTGATGCACGTACTTTCTTCTATATGTAGAAATGACAATCCTTTTCCAAATGAACTTACACTTGAATTGTTTCCTTTAGGAAAAAGGATTCACATTTTTAAGTCAAGTAATCCAGATTGATAGTGTTTTCCAAATCAAAGAATGGTGTCTTCATCTATAATATTTTAGTTTATTCTGGAGTGAGACTGCAATTTTAGACTATGAATTATCAGGTAAACATTTCCTTAACACTTGTAAAGTTAAAATCATTGGGCTAGAAATTCAGGGTACAAAATGGGTAAGATGGTTACTGTCCTCAAAGAGCTTCCATTTTTTAGGAACCAAGCACCTCAACATTAATTGTGTTGTTATGATTATTTGTCACTTTGTTATAATAGGCTACAGGGATTAAGAAATGTCATGTGACAACACAAGAGGAGCCTATTTTATTTTTGGGAGAAAGACAGGAAATTTTCCTTTGATATAATCTTTGAATTTGGTTTTGAATAAAAAAAGAAAATTCTAGACAAAAGAGGAAAACATGAAAAAATATGTGGAGCTAGGGCAAAATAATTACATTAGCAACAGAATTAACTATGATGGCTACCATACACCAAGTAAAGATGTTAAAAATAAGACTGGATAAATTCAATGAGATTATAATATAAAGGCTTTAACTGGGCATAGTAACACATGTCTGTAATCCTAGCAATCTGAGGCAGGAGGATCATGAGTTCAACATCAGTGTAGTCTACATAGCAAGACTATCTCAAACACAAACAAACAAAACAAAATAACAACAACAAAAAAAGACCCCAAAAAGTTACCACAAAGCCTTATATGCCACTGTAGAACAATGAAATGAATGATAAAAACAATGGAAAACTATTGAACATTTACTCTGGGGATTTACAAAAGCATATTTGTGTTTTTAAAAGATAATACACGTGTCAGTATGGAGGTCTCGATCAAATAGCAATTGTTTCCATCAGTGTTTATTGAGAATCGGTTTCATTTTCTCACTGGACAACTAATATGTTATTATATTTATTTACCAACTCACTCATTTCACAACTCTCACTTGCTAAGAATCCTATTTCGAGCTCCTACAACCAAGTCTGTATCAGTTACCCACCTTAAACTCTTCAGGCTGTGCCTGTCCCATTCTGTCGCTCATCTCTCGCTGCAGGCCCAATGTGACGTGTATCTAATCCTCCATTCAATGTCTCTTCACATTTTCTTTACTTTTAATAATTTATCTCTTCACAAGCTTATAACTCTGTACTACATTTTGCATAATTTTCAATTCTATCTTCCAATTTACAATTTCTGACTTCAAAAGTATCTAATCTGCTTTTAAATCAACCTATTAAATTTTTTGAAGAATTAGAATTTTCAGGTCTAGAGGTTCTATTCGACTCATTTCCCAATCATCTTGGCCTTGTTTTAGTCTTCCGTTGTTTTTAAACTTATATTAAACACACCAATTATCCTGATAATTCAGATAATCAAAATTTTTGCAAATTTATTTATTTTTTTGCTCACTGTGGCCTGGATCCTTTTGTGATTTGTGATGGTGACCTGGTAATTGTTGGCATTTATCTGAAGCCTGGATTGAAGGCACCTTTCCTCTATGAGAATGTGTTAACTTTTTCCAAACCCTGCAGGAACACTACAAACCTGGCATTACTTTGAACTTAATTTCACCTTGAAGTTTTCCAGACCATGTGGGTGGTGTAAGTTCAGGCTGTAAGCCTCCACTGGTTGATTGCTTATGGTTATAAATTTTGAGCAGAGGAATTTCCTCCTTCAGTCAGTGCCAAAATGTAAACCCTGCAATTTTCTTGGAGTTTTAGGAAATGGGGAGTAAGGTGGGTTTATTTGTCATCCTAAGTAAGTATACAGATTTATCCTCAGTGTCTGGTTTACTTTCACATTGAGTATGCAAGACTTAATGAAGTGTAAGAATCCTTGATTAGAGAAGACCTTGGAATTAATCTTTAGTCTCCTGTACTCTAAAAGACCCCAAAGTAAGAGTTTAAATTCCTATTATATGACAAATACTATCAAAATGAAAGACTTCTTCAAAGTTCAAGTTATGCTTTCACTTAGTTATGGCATCTTAAATATGCATATTCCTTACTTTCCTGCCATATTGCTAAAGCATTTAAAAACAAGTTTCAAGGGGTTGGGGATTTAGCTCAGCAGCATAAACACCTGCCTTACAAGCAGGAGGTTGCGAGTTCGATCCCTGGTACCGATAAAAAGTTTAAAAAAAAAAAAAAACAAGTTTCAAACAGATAGATAGATAGACAGATAGATAGATCTGGGACACTTGGTTTTGTGTTGTTGTTTGTTTTATAGTGCAAATGGACATGTTAGTCTGGTTATCTCATGTATCATGCTGCCTGATACAGAAGTCCTTTTTATGTCTTTTCTTGTATTCCCACTGGCTAGATCACTCTCAACACTGTGCCATTTATCAACTTACTGCCTCAGTTCCAAATCCACTGCTTGCTGTGTAAAATGCAGCTGGCCTTTTAAATAGTTTTTATATGCCACCTGACATGATGCTAACATCTCTTCCTTGAGGGCAGTAAAATGATCCTGCAGGAGGCAGGTTTCCCCTTCTTCCTCCTCATTCTGGTGTGTTTCACAAGCAGCTTCTCCAGCTCTAGGTTCCTCCCGTGCACATGGCTGTCCAGGCGCTCACCTCTTGGCCTGCGGGTGGCTCCTAACAGGCTCCTATTGCTCAGCAGCTTGTCTA